ATCATCAGATATTTAAAATCTAATTTATAAAAAAATAATTTATTTTTAGAAATATCTTTCAATATGATGGTAAGATTTTCTATTAAAGATTTTCTTCAAATATGTTAGTAGAATTTGATGAAAACTATTTCCTTTTTTTGTTTTCGAATTTGATGAAGTTATCTAATATATTGGTAAAACTTTATTTTAAAAATAAAATTACAAGCTTTCCAATATGTTGTTAAGGTTATTTTTATTTAAATATGTTTTTACATAAGTATTTAAAATAAATAAATATATAAATAAATAAAATAAACATAAAAAAATAAAAATATTAGAATTCGACTTGGCTTGGTGGCTTGAAGGCACGACGCAGCTTCAGGCATAAAAGATAGTTGATCGACTCGGCTTGTACAGCTCGATTTGGCTTGAGAAGGGTTATTGGAATCGAGTTGTGAGTTGGGTTACGTGCGGGTCAGGTCAGGTAATGGCAAAACTTGTGGATTCTGAGGCTTTAAAACTCTCAAAATGATGTCATTTTTGCATAGATATAAAAGCCTTAATTTTCATTTTTCTTTAAAACCCCTCTACACACTTTCTCTCTTTTTTTTTTGTTTTGCTTTTCTCGTTAGGATAAAGAATACGATGACTAACCGATTGAATTTTCATTTGATTCTAAAAAATGCCATCGATAGTTGGGTTTTTCACCCAAAAAATCGTTAAAAAATTTAAATCTTCGTCAAAAAATTCAACAAAATCTTAAAATTTCAAAAAAATCCAAAAAATCGTTAAAAAAACACCAAATCGATCCTCCTAGGCTTTTGGAATCCTTCAAAACCTTGCATAAATTAGAACAAATTCTCACAATTCTCATATTTTTTAAATAATTCCTCAAAAATCCTACTACTAGAAACAAGTTCTAATGTGATTTTTCAATATGATTTTGGTATTCTCTCCATCTGTGCTTGCTGTATATTGGAATAATTTATATAAGACTTTTCATAAGTAATTTTAGAGATTTTATTAAATAACAAAGATCAAATATATCATAACTAGATTCGATCATATTTATTACTTAATTTATTGTTTAAAAATTTAGTTTGATTGTCGTTACTATGCTCTGTAATTTGTTTTCCTTTTTTACTCATATTTGATTCTTGGGATTGAATCCCATGAGTCAAATCAAAATCTTTTGATTTGTTTTTTTTTATTATTATTTTTATTTAGTTTTTATTAAAATAACAAAAATAATAAACAAAAAAAAACTATCAATGAAAAAAATTTATATGCCGGGCTCAAAACCCAATTATTACTAAATTAATTTTAAAAATTCAATAAACATTTCCAAAGCTCAATAATTTGACGAAACCCAAATTGAAAATGATCATTCGATTATAAATTCTTCACAAAATAAGATGTCTGAGAAAAAATTTAAAGAAGCATGAGAAGTACTTGTTTGCATTTTACCTAACCGCTAGGTCGATGGAAGGCACCACAGGAAAGCATGATCAAGTTTAACTTTGATGGGGCCTTGGACGTACGTAAAGGACTGGGAGGAATAGGACTCGTGGCACGGGAGTCAAAAGGTGTCATCCTTGGAGCGGTAAGCAAACAGTATCTAGACATATGTGACCCTGCAATTATTGAAGCACTGGCCATGGTGGAAGTAGCAAAGCTGGCAACAGGGATGTAAACTGATTGAACTAGAGGGTGATGCACGGGAAATCATCAACCAAGTAAAGAGGAAGGGGAACAGAAACCTGTCCTATGTAGGTGCACTTATAGAGGAGGCTGAACGTAGACTGCATAGTTTCACGTCATGGGAAAGCATGTATGTCAGCAGAGAAGGAAATAAGGCCTCCCACTGCATGGCAAAATTAGCTCTAGGAGGAGAGGACACGAGGATATGGGTTGAGGATTTTCCAAATATTTTAATTGTTACCTGTGAACAAGATAGATTTGGCTTTGAGTGATGAAGTCCTATTTTATTTTATTTAAAAAAATTGATAATTTTAATTAAAGTTATAATTGTTTTTCTGAAATTACAAATAAAAAAATTTATAATCATAATAATCAAATAAATCAATCAATCAATTAACTAAAAATAATTAAATAAATTTAATATAAAATTAAAATAAATTCACTTAAAATGGGATTTGAACTTAACCTTTAAAAATTTTTTGAAAATAAAAACCACGTCATTACCATCCGATGAGACCAAGAAATGAGAATACAATCACCACCCTAGTCGTTCCGCACCGAATCTCTTGCTTATCTCCAACATAAGTCAGAGTACCCCGCAGCCGAAAATGCCAGCATTCCGCTTCCCTTGATTTTTTTTTTTTTATTTCTCATTTATTTTATCGGTGTCAGTTTTTGTCGATCGAGAGAATGGGGAATACGTCTTGCGTATTTTGTGCGTGCGTCGAGCAGGCGAATATAGGCGTGGTGGAGAGGTGGGGCCGTTTCGAGAAGTTGGCGGAGCCTGGCCTCCACTTATTTAACCCCTTCGCCGGTCAGTGGCTCGCCGGCATCCTCTCCACCAGAATCTCCTCCCTCGATGTCCGCATCGAAACCAAAACCAAGGTATCTATTTACTTTGTTGACCAGTTCCATTCCACACCTGATTCCTTTAATTTTTAACCCTACATGAATATGCCTTACTAATAGAATTGAATTCAATTGATCGTAAAACGTTTTGGTAAGTTCTTTGAATTTTTTTATATGTTTGTTGGTGAGTGATGACATGATAGCGGTGTCGGTTTCAACTTCATTCAGGGAAAAGAAAAAGGAATGATTTGGGCGCTGGAAAAAATTGAATTTCATAATTAGTGGTGGTTATAATTCAACAATGTTTAGATTGATTTATTGCTTTATCAGAAGAAGATCGGTAAGTATATATATGGTAATGTTACATTTGGTAGGACAATGTGTTTGTGCAATTGCTTTGCTCGATTCAATACCGAGTGTTGAAGGCACAAGCTGATGATGCTTTTTATGAGCTGCAAAATCCCAAAGAACAGATCCAGGCTTATGTGTTTGATGGTAATTTTCCTTGGTTTTCTTTATGCATATCGGCCTATATATTTGCTATTCATTTTTGAGTTATTCCCCTACCCCTCCCTTTGCTTTTGTTTTCTTTCTGTATACTAATGCATCTGATTTGTTGTGGTAGTGGTTCGAGCTGTAGTTCCAAGAATGAATTTGGATGATCTCTTTGAACAAAAAGGGGAGGTTGCTAAAGCTGTTCTTGAGGAACTTGAGAAGGTAATACAGTCCATTAGTTTTCTCCCATTTGTTTCAATTATCTGCGTAAGACATATAAGATACAAATTTTGGTTTAGAAACTGTTGAGCTGGTAAACCAGAGAAGATTCACTGATTTGTCAGTCTTGGACTTGTTTCTTTCAATTTGATGTGTCAAAAAAATAGACAATTAATGAAATACTGTATTTACTCTGCTTTGTAGTAGGAAGGATGGATTTGGTTTGTTTTGTGGTCTTGTTTTTTGGCCTGCATTTTCCCAGAACATGAATGCATAAAGAGGGGGAGCAAAATATGAGATTTTGAATGCTGCATGATAAATTATGATTATTTTCTATCTAATTGCACTAGAGTGGTTATGTTTCTATCTGAATTAGTTTTTTACCTTTTGTCACTCTTATGTGCTTCCTCTGTATCTTGTATGAGACTTTGCATGTCATATACAGAATATGAAATTATTTATCAGGTGATGGGAGAATATGGATATAGCATTGAGCACATACTGATGGTTGACATTATACCTGATACTGCTGTGCGCATGGCAATGAATGAGATAAATGCAGGTAATGATATTTTACTTATCCAAAATTTTCTTACTACATCAAGTCATCTCTTTTGGTTCTTTTTCTTTTCAATACAATCATATGAAATTTTGTTAAAGATGGAAAATTACTACCTAAACTCCAGTTTCTGTGATAATCATGTCTGTCTTCTTACCTCTAATTGCACAAATTAAGCTATGTATGTAAATGATGCAAACTAGAGCATGGTGCCAAGTAATTCAATAACCATTTTAACTTGAGTCAGCATTCTCTTGAGAGCCATTCATTGGCAGTTGAAGAAATACTAAACTTTGCAATTATTTTGTGTTACAGCTCAAAGACTTCAGCTTGCCAGTGTGTACAAAGGGGAAGCAGAGAAGATACTCCAAATTAAAAGAGCAGAAGCTGAAGCTGAGTCCAAGTACCTGGGTGGGATTGGTGTGGCGAGGCAGCGCCAGGCAATCACAGATGGCTTGAGAGAGAACATCTTGAATTTCTCTCACAAGGTGGAAGGCACCTCAGCCAAGGAGGTGATGGACCTTATCATGATCACACAGTACTTTGATACAATCAAGGACCTCGGGAATTCCTCAAAGAACACTACTGTTTTTATTCCCCATGGACCTGGTCATGTTAGAGATATTGGTGAGCAGATACGGAATGGGCTGATGGAGGCAGCTAGTGCTCAAGTAAATGTTGAATAAATATCATAATAAGAAAACGGTTGTTTTGAATTGTAAGAGAAGACAATCAAATAGGTTGGTCTTTGTGGCAACAGTTATACAGTGCTGTTACTTTATCAGTGAGGCAATAAAATTGGATGATATAGATCAGTATAAAATGATTTTGTAATTTGATGTGAATGCTATATATGTTTTTTATTTTTTAATATTTGAAACTATCATGATTCTAATTTTGAAATTAAAAATTTAACACTTAACTAATAAAACACTTTATTAACAGATCATAAAACTGTCTGTAACTGTTGGGCAAGGCAAGAATGCTATATTTTCAATTTCGTCTGTTTTAACCATCTTTAACCCTCTTTTATTATAATCAGAACTGCCTATTTTTTTATCCAACAAAAATATTCAGAGACATGTTTTTGAACGGCATTGATATTTAAGTACACATTAGAAAAAAAAAACATTCGAAACACCTGAAATAAAACATCATTCTTTAGACAAAGTTAGGGTTCAAGGCGGTAAGCACGAAGGAACCGAATCACTATTGGCTTTACTTACATACACCCCATAGAAATATACGGAAGTATAAGATAAGTTCCATCTTCAAAATATTGAAAATCATTTTCAAGGACTAATCTGTTAGAAATAGAGAATGAAATTACTCCTCAAATTGACTGTTCAATAGTACGTTTGAGTCGGTGGGTATGCTCCACTAACCCTATGATAGCCACTAGCACTGGCCTGCATGCAACAGGAATGAACAATGATTAGTTAGTCAAAGTAGCATTTGGAATGAACAATGATTAATTAAAGTAACATTTTTCATTCTTTAGGAAGGTAAATTATGGAAGATAGTAAAAAAAAAAAAAGGTATCACTGAAAAGCGTCATAAATTTAAACAACGTAGAGAGAAAGAGGCACCTCGTATCTAGCATAGCTCGAGTGGTTTGGAACATAGGGGCGTGAAAAAGCTGATCCTACAGTGACACAAAAAAGGTTACCTGATGATTAGAGACCAATAACAAGATTCCAAATCCCAACACGAGAAAAGTAACATAAACATAACTATCAGTTTCAAATTCCATTAAGAATAAACATAATTTCAGAGTATTATTAATTTCTTCATTCAAAAGAGAAGGTAAAATGATTCCAAAACCAAAACAAGGTCTAGTACCATTCGGATTAGACAAACTTCCAAAGCTCAAGTACTTATTTAAGGCATTACTCTAATTAGACTTCCGTAATAACTAGTGTTTCCCTTCATGATTCTCTTTAAGAAAAACCAAAAAAAAAAAAACAAAAAAGGCACAAAATGCTTTAAAATTTTCTGAAAAATAGGTATAATACATGAGACCATTTTTCACAAGAAATGTTTAAGGTCTAAAGCAGAACTTGGAAACGGCATTCATGTTGAAACCCCCACATCCAAAGAGTTTTGCCTCCTTCCACACGGGCGTGTGTATTACATATATAATCACATACGTATCAATGATTCAGGAGGGGGGTGGCAATCAATTGTGTGTTTTTGTCAACAAAAGGTAGAGTTCCTTGTTGCTTTGACAAAAATATATTAAACAAATAGAAACATTGAGAGTAAGGATGCATGGGGGGTTAAACAGAGGGAAAATACTTAGAAAGAAAAAGAAATATAAGATTGGTGATGCTACCTGCCTCGTGAGCAGGCCCTTGATTGCCTGGACCGTTATATTCACCAGTTCTGCATTATAATCACATAGCAAAGAAATAAAGAATAAACTCCGAAATCAGATAAAGACAAGTAAGATGCACAAGAAAAACCTTCTCGCTAGATAATCGTCTACAACAAAGCTTTGCTTTCTTGAAGAAGCCTCAAGAAATCCTGCATGAGGTAGGGCATCTTTCCCAATTGCAGGTTTGAAGTACTTAGCAGGAGGTTGTCTTTCATAGTGAGTATCTAGTTTAAGATAATCTGCATAAGTTGGCCTTTGATGTCGAAAAGCAGGTGTGACACATCCTGCAAGATATCGGTCCTTGTGCTTCACAGGCTGCACGAATCCCGCATGGGGTTCCTAAATAGAACCATTTTAAGTGATCAAACACATATGACATCACAAGATACGTGTGCAAATATGCAAATTACCAAATCAGAAGACAGCCTTTTGGATCCAGAAATAGCAACATAAGCCGAGCCTGGATACCCGCTTGTGGATGCAGCATATGCCTCTTTAAATAATATTCTATGTGCAACGGAATCTGCACCCCTGCTAGGTCTCTTCCTTAAGTGAGATCTGCTCTTTGAACTTATAGAAGAATGACTAGGTCGACCTTGTGATCTACCTGTGAATTAAGGCAGATTAAATTATTCAGCGACTCCCTCTATAAGAATATCTATATTTAGTAGCACAAAAAGCAAATACAACAGAATTACCTTCAAGTTTCTTTGACAGCCTCTTTCTATGCAAACGGTTCCTTTGTCTCTTTCTATTCTTTCTCTTGTCATCAGTTTTCTCAAGCTTGGTAGACAGTCCAGCTCCAGCATCATGAACTTCAGGGGCAATCCTTTGGTGTTCATTGTTTTCATCTTCTATGGTATGCTTTGAATTCAAAGGATCCTGATTATTTTTATGAGCAACTCCTGCTACTTTCTCTTTGGTCCCTCTAATCTTAGACTTGTATATAACAGTCTGTGCTTTCATATCACTCCCTTTTTTAGCCCCTTCAGACCTGGCATGGCCTTTCATCTTCCACCAACAAGTGCTTCTATGTCTTTTACCAAGTTTCAACCCTCCACAAGAGCTCTTTTGCGGGCACCCTCCAACAAGGGGCCTTGCAATATCAGCTTTAACCTGATACACAAATTAACCCTAAGAGATGCTATTCTAGAGATAAAGAAAATGAACGAGACATCCAATGAAATCACCTTTACATTTCCTCCAAACTGCAATTTATTCATCCCTCCCACACAAGCTACTGCATTCTCACGGGAAGTGAAAGAAATGAATCCAAAATCCTTGCCTTTACTGCAAAAATTCCGGGATATTTTAACCTTTTTAGTCTCCCCATACTGTTCACAGATCTCTTTAAGTTTCTGTACATCCCAAGACTTTGGTATCCCCTCGACATAAATAGTTTTCACCTACAGCAGGAGAGCCAAAATTTCTATCATTTTGCCTTATGAGATGATAAGCATTCTAGTTTAAATGAAAATTGTAATTTAAAAAGCTAAGAACAGATTTCCTATCCTTGATATCAACAAATATTCTCTCTCACATTATTTTCTTCTAACAAAAAGAACAATTGGGAAAGCCCATATAGTGAACATTTTGAACAATAATTTTACAAGTTCAACACATCTATCTCATAACATGATTGTATAAGTTCTATATTGAGCAGCTTACATTCACCCGTCACCATATTGACCAAAAAAGAAACTGATTTGGCTCCTTAGTGTGAAAGTTGGCTTTTCTCTTTATCAGCCCAACACAGTTCTTTTCCTTTATAAGCTTTATGTTTTAATCAATGCCATTTTTCAATAACCAAAAATTCCTTTGCAGTCACCTCTTATAGCAGGCTTTCCTGCTTTTGATAAATGAAATCTTAGCTGATCCAAAAAAAATCCAAGCAGTCAACTGGAAAAAGGAAAAGCCCACAAACACTCACAACCTCATACTTCCAATGTAATATAACAAAAAGTAATAACATAAATGGATTCCCAACCTGTAATTGAACTTCCTCTCTTGAATGCATTGGGGTGCGAGCAAAGGCAACTTTAGCACTTTTTGCATTGCCAAAAACTGCATCTGGCTTCCTTAAACGATGGAATGCAGCCTTTGCATCAGAGCAAGTGTTGAATCTCAATAAAGCAAAACCTTTATTCTTTCCCTCATTCTTAGGATCATTTGGTACTTGTATCTCATCAAGGTCTTCAATTCCATAACCATTCAACTTCCGAAGCACCTAGAAAGAGACAGAAAAGGAGCAAAAGTCATATTAAGAATTTAAGGTCACCATTGCTTGCAGTAGATGAGAATTTTGGGCAGACACAGGACTTGATTCGCCTTGTATACATGCACTACGTGATCCAAACAAGCACCCATAAAAGAAAACTGAAAGTGCATGTAGAGTTCTTTTGCCTACATCCTCTTTGGTCCATGTTTTACAAATATTTCCCAGATAAAGTATATCACGGTCTCGGCTAATTGATAACTTAGCATGCCTCCCTCTCACCTACACGTATCAGGGAAAGAAGAAAGAGAAAAAGAAAAACAATGTCAGTTAGTCATTAATAATAGAAAGGTGATAGATTTTATTAAGGTCAGATGAAAATGAAAGTTGTATTTAACCTCTATCCCATCCTTGTAATCAGAAAGAACTTTCTTAGTTTGCTCAACAGTAGCAAATTGAATAAAAGCAAATCCTTTACTTTTATTTGTGATTGGATGCCTCACAATCCTTGCAATTTGGACTTTCCCAAACTTTCCAAATATTTCAAACAAGTCTTGTTCAACTGTATCTTTATGCAGACCTCCAACATGTATTTCCAGTTGCTTTTCTTTCTTTGGCTCAGTTAGAGAATCATGGTTAAATACCGGAGGCACTTCATTCACATCACTAACTTCAATGTCTTCATTCTGATCCCGGTCATCTCTGCTCTCCTGCATTTTTTCCCCATCATCATCCTCCTTATTGATGTAACTGTCATCAATTTGCCCATCAAATTTCATGACTCTAATTCTAGCAGTAGAAGGCTCCCCTTCAACTGATTCCTGTTCTGCACCAACAAAAGTCAAAATATATTTGACATTAAAAATGCGCAAAATCATCACCATTCAAAGGGGAAAGAAATCAAAAATGAAAAACAACTTCCTCTCAGAGGGGAGAGAGAGCGAGAGGAGAGGGAGAACAGTATCCACAGACCAGAAATATACAGCACGCTTAATGAGCAAGTATGAAAAAGATTATTGAAGCAATTGTGATCTTTACTAGGAATAGTATATTTCTGGAACCCAACATTCCAACATCCTATAAATCATAATAAACCAGGATTTCAATACGATGACATGAATGGAATTTTTTAAGGCATTAAAGAACTTTCATGAACAGAAGATAACTAAAAAGTCAGTGGTGAACACTAGTTTCGGGTGAGTACACAAACCGTGCAAGAAAGCAATGAAAGAAAGGAGAAACTAACCTAAGATAGTGCACAAAACACTGAAAATAATAAGCTGATCTCTCCCTTGCTGGAGAATGCTCAAAAGATACATCCATAATATGGCAGCTTCATTTGAGTTTGTCATTTTTACCAACATAACTGCTTCCTTCACTTTCTAGCAACATGTACATTGAGTCCATATTCTAAATTATATCAAGAGACATAACAATACCAGTGTTTAGGTTGTAAAATATCTGGACTGTCATATTTATTTTGACAGCTTATAGGTCCAATGCCCCTTTTCCACCATTTTTAGTCACCCTAACGTGCGCAAATTGCAATCTAAACAGCAATTTGAAAATGAACTAAGAATACTTAATATGCGAATTAAGGAAAGCAATGGTAAGTCAATAGCTAAAGCCGAATTAAAATGAAAATTTTGCGAGACGATGATCAGTCAAGTACCTGCATTTGCATGAACCTCGGCTTCCTCACCATTCTCAATTTCATTCCCTGAATCCATATCAGTAACTTCGATGTTCGAATTGAAATTTCGTCCCCTAACACTCCCTTCCTCGAGTGTCTCCTCAAATTTACTACACTTCAAACTAGCATCCAAATTATCGGATTTCTCACCACCTTCCAAACCATTTACAGCAATTGTTTCAATATTCGATTTATTTTCAACAATATTTCCATCATTAAAATTCGATTCATTTTCAACAGCGTAACCGCCGTTGTTTATTTGATCCTGTTGAATTATTGTGTCCATTTCCATGACAGCACTTACCACATTCTCGACTTCTTCAAACTCCTCTTTAAAACAATCAATCTCCCGATCAATGTCCTTCACTCTCTCGTTACCAGCCTTAGCAGCCTCCACAACATTCTCTGAAGATCCCGGATCCTTCATTTCGACCTCCACCTCGTCTTCCTCGCTCGATCGGACGACTCGCCGTTTAGCTCTGGCCTTCTTCCGACGCATGATCAACTAAATATTGAAACTCCTCTGAACTCCTCTTTTTTTTTTTTCACCAAATTCTTACGGTAATTTAAAGGGAAAAAGTAGAAGTGGGTTTATTAATAATGGGGGGATTGGACGCTCCTGGACAAACAAGAAGCAAAGCAGATAAAAACCAGAGCAAAGAGAAGGGATTTTCCCGAGGCCCAACCACCCCAAGATCATTTGCTTTTTATGGGCCTATGGCCATTAAATTGCTTGCTGTTGTGACCCAATTCCACCAGCCATGGGCTGTAGATTAGGCCCGTTTTATGCATATAACTCACCAGAAGTTTTGGGGGCATGGCGAGTTGGTTTTTCAAGCTAAACGAAGCACAGCCCTTTTAATTTGGACGTTGGAGATATGTTCGACCATATTCTTTCGGGAGGAAAGATATACTCCACAATTAATTGTATGTAAGCATAACCAAAACTTCCCTTAAGTAATTAGTAGCAATATTTTTTGTACTTTTTAATTGGTTGGTAAAGATTGGCCAAAAAATTGAAGAGATAATCAATAAAATAAAGCAATTTTTACTCGTACTTGATAGAAAAGAAAAATAGAAGAGTTTATCGCTTTTCTACCAACAAAATCAATGCAATATACAAAAAATCAGTCCCCTTTGGTTTTTGGCTCCCATTTTGAGAAAAAATCAGAATTGCATTAATCATGATTTGAAAGGTAATGATGAAGCAATTTTATACTATAAACAAAAATCGTCTTTCAAATGACCGATAGAAAATAAGGGTTACGAGCTAAATGATGGAGATCGGCCATATTTTCTTTATTTATAATTAGATTTGATAATTTTAATATGATATAAAATACCATATTAATAAAAAAAATCATACTGATAAGAAGGTATCATATTAAAAATATGTTATACTATAATAAAAATCATCTTTGAAGTTGACAAGTTTGAGAAAAAAAAATGAGAGGTATGAGCTAAATAATAGAAATTGACAATATTTTATCTCTAATTATAATTAAATTTGATGAATTTAGAAGTAAAATGATAATATGATATAAAAATAATATAAAATATATATATATATATATGAAAGTGATGTATTTAAAATTTTGATAAAAATCTTATATATTTGGCAAAATCTAAAAAATACATTACTTGTTTAACGTGTTGATTTAAAAAAAAAAATTATTTAAAAGATATTTGAATTGAAACTAATATGATAGAGAAACATCAAATATATTTCATACTTAACATATCTAAACAAAATACACTACACCTAAGCTAGAATCGATACATCCTCTAATAACATTATATTTTCTTTGTTCTTTTTTTTGTCTTTTTTTAGATATATCAAAATTATGTCTTTTTTTCTTTTTTAAGTATCCAAAACTTTTACTTTTTATATTTTAGTTTTTTATTTTTTTACATTAAAAATTATGAAACCTTAATTATCAGAATCAGATCGAACTATCGGTTCGATTGATTGAATCAATGAACCAATACTAAAATTGATCTGATTCTATAATGAAATAATTTTGTAATTAAATCGCTTTAAATTGTTATAAGCTAGCAGTTTATATAATAAATTAATAAATCGGATGATTTTTTAAATAGATTGGTTCAATATCAATTAATAAATTTAGGCAAATTAAGAAAAAAAAAAAAGCCTTTCAAGTATTCAAAATAATATAATTAAATCTTTATACTACTATTTCATCTAGATAAGCCCCTTCACTTTTATTTTCTACTATCAAAACCTTTATATCTTTATATTAATGATATATTGACATATTTTGAGACATATGAATAATGACAGTATAAAAAAAACTTACACATATGTAAAAATAAGCAATTTAAAAAAAATGACCTGACAAAAAAATTATTAATTGCTACTATAATTAAAAGTAATTATAAAATTAATAATATATAAAATTAATTAAAAAATGAAAATGTTAATAAAAAATGATTAATTATTTGACCATAATAATAAATAATTAATAAAAAAATGTATATATTTACAATTAATAAAAAAATTTTACATTCATATAAGAATATAAAAATGATTTTAATTTCTTTATTACTTATTTTTATATAAATATAAATATTTCCTTTTTATTAATTTTATATATAGATATTTTAATTACATAAAGATTAATTATTATATATTAATTAATAATATTTATATTTTAATAAATATAAATAATTATTATTTATAATTTATTATATTTATTAAAATATAAATATTATTTCTAACTATTAAAATATAAAATATGATTTTAATAAAATTTTAGGTAATTTTATTTCTAATTAGTAATTAATTATTCTATAAATTTTATATTTTAAAAATTATAATTTATGATATACCTTAAAAATTTATAATTTTATGATTGAATTATTAAATTATAACTTAAGCTAAAAGTTTAAATTTTAAAATTTTAAAATATTTATATTTTTTATAATATTTTTTATTGAACCGACAATTGATCCGATTTATCCGGTGATTGAATCATTAACCTAATAACCTGAAACTTTAAATAGTTTAATGTCTAATTTGATTTTGATAATTATGCATGAAACTTAATTTTATAAAAAAATTTTAATTTAAATATTAAATATATTAAAATTAAAATTCTTGTTTTAAATTTTATGAAATTTAATACTATTTAAACAAATTAATGACAAATGTCTGCCCAACTGAGTGCTATCAGAACTTGGGGGGCAAGATGCACTAACCCCACAAGGCCCAAACCCTATAGTTTCAGGTAAGATTTGGCTGTTACTAGAGATATTAATAAAGGGAAAAAGAGTAATCATAACAAATTAACAATTACTACTTTGTTTTTTGTATAAACAAAGTTTGGAGTAATTAAATCTGTAAACGGTTAAGCAGAAATTACCTCCACTACAGCCGGCAAAAGCAATTTTTGCAAGTCCAATCATAGCAAAAGTCAAAATAAAAAATAAAATAAAAAGGCAATATAGAAGGGTTTGGGCCATAAAACGTGGACCAATGTGACAAACTGTTTGCTTTGAAAATTTAAATAAAATAAAATACTACTATTTCTGGTAGTGGCAAGCTTAAGGTGTGGCTAGCTTTGAACCGTAACAAAAAATGTAATCATGAAATTAGGAGAATAAAGATTAGGAGATTATAATTAGCTTCTGTAATGAGTATAAAATATGAATCATGATTATCATTATTAGTAGGTAAGATGGTTGGGAGATAGGTTGGAACTAGTACTACTATTTTGTATCCTTTTGGTGAGAGCTAAGTTTAAACTTTAAGCTCACATCCAAATTATTAAGGGCAGTGATCCCTATTCCTATATCCAGCTGAGATTAGAATAATCTGCCCTAACCTCTAGACCTTGGCCAGCACTTATTTTCTTTTAATTATAAGGTTAATTTTAAATTATACTCTAACTCAAAGGTGATTTTAAGTTTAACCTTCTTTTCCTTGCCTATCTCCATTTATCAAGAACTGACAAAATGGATTTATTAACTCTCAACTAATGTTTAAACAAATATTAATAAAGGTTCACTTAGGCAGCATGATAAATGCTAAGTCATAAATAATATTATAATGTAATGAAAATGGTTAATGAGTTAATTTTTTCTGAATTTTATTCTTTTCATGATTTTGTATTTATAAAAAAAAATCATGATTTGATATTTTTGTTAAGTATTTTATATTGTTGACTAATGGTATTAGATAAAATGATGAGGTGATAAATATTTTTTTGTTCTTGCAATGACATGATAAATATAAATTAATAAAAATATATATCATCTCACAATTTTACTCGCTAAATTTTTATCACATCATCATATTATTTATAAAATTAGTGTTAGAACAAATGATGTGACAATATAAAACTTAAAGTATTAAATGATAATTTTTTTTGTAAGTATAAAATCGTAAAAGATAATATAATTCAAGGATCAAATTATATACATATTAACCTTAATGAGAATTCCTTCTATAACATTATCAAACGAATCATAAGTAAATGGAAATGAAAGTTCTAACAAAAACAAGAAAAAGAAAGGGTAAAGCAGTACTAAAATTATCAAAGTTAAATTTTTTTTATATATTATCAATCTTTGGTATAAAATAAAACCCGATTCTCCAAATCCTCTCACAAGATCAATCAAAAGTGTACCCACAAAATTTTCCACTCTTTTCATCTTATAGATGCAATTAATGGGAACCATCATGTTCTTATTAGATTTCTGACCTATTTGCACTCTATGCTATTGAATTGTTTTTACTTTTTACATTTTAGGTAGAAAAAGTAGGCTTCCATAATAGCATTCATTGACAATAAGACCTTACAGAGAAGATTACGGGAAAGAGGAAGCGCCAGAAAGCAATGAATAATCATACCAATGGCAATCCAAATCAACATCCTCTCACATGTCTTACATTACAATCACATGGGTCAGCTTCACATCCAAAAATAATCAAGGCTGTATAAGTGAAAAAGTGAGGGAAAAAGATGATATAAGAAAGAATGTTGATCATGGAGTAGCATTGAGAGTGTCAAGATTCTTGTAGGAAAGAGGGTCCTGTCCTATACTAATGATTATACCTTTCTTCCCCCTTTAACAAAGAAAATTAGTGGAATGAATAAGGCATACCATACGGGTGAAAAAACCTCCTTTCGAGTTGGTGAGCAGTCAGCATTACTTGGCCTTGCCGACAGGTCCCCCGTCCCTCCCCAAATTAATGTAGCAAGACAAAAAGGGTGAAGAAATCTACACTTACTCTGCCGCTGTCCGCTGACTTTAGTTGACCCAAAAGAAGTAATTTCAACATTTTGTTATAACATGCTGAATACATGCTAAGGTCAGTAGACAAATCTAAAGCAAATGCCTGAAGAGCGAGCAAGAGGGCATGCCCTTCATCTGGTGCCAAGTTCAAAATATTTTATAGAGTTTCCTGTCAAAAGATGAACTGCAGAAAGTTTTCTGGGATTGCCAATCAAGGGTGTATCATGAAGAGTGAAAGAATAATAACAAACTAAAGCATAAGGCAATTTTGCAACTATTGGAAAATAGTGTCATAACCAACCAAATACCTCATAAGCTATATTTAAGCTTTATTATGAACTAACCTTTTCACCTATTACTGGTACTTTTACAATAACCATAGGATATACCTGCATGTGACATTTGCATTACATTTGAATGCTTAAAACCTGCCAGAAACTGTAGTCCCATAATTCACTTCCAAGTTCCTGCAAAAGTTTTTCGACAAAAGAAAAAAGAAAATAATGATTAAGATGATGAATAAAATCTCAGTCCACTATGCATATGCTTAGCCTCAGCAAGTCCTTTTTTTCTTCTCTTTTTCCAAAAAAAAAAAAATAATAATAATAATAATAAATCCTTTTGTTATTCATTAGGAGTCAGACGTGGCATTAGGATCACCTTATGCTTTCAACCATAACTTTTATATGCATATGTACGTTTATGCATATATGTATTAATTTGAAATTTTGTCATTTTCCTCTTCTAGTAAACTATTGTCCCATATAATAAAGGATCCATAGCATCTTGCATCACCCTAGGATGCATGCGCCCATGACAGCCAAAATAATAAACTAAGTTTTGTTATAAGAAAATAACAGGAATATTTCTAATACCACCAACCTTCTGAGTTAGTCAAAAATGCTTACAGAAATGTAGAACCTGCAAAATCAGGTCAAGATCGTTGCAATATCCCAATCAGCCATCTTGTGTGCCTCCTGAAGCCGACAAAAATCTTTGCTTCCACTTTGCTCAAAACTTTGTAGCAGCTATCCTAACCAATAATCCCGCAAAAATTCAGCTTTCAATCTTGACATGAAAAGTTTGAAAAAAAGGGCCCAGTCTGAGAGTAAGAATGTCACTATAATTGGAATGTTTAAAAGACAAGCTACCGAAGATGATGGGATTAAGCCTGCCAAAACCAATAAAAAACTAACAGATAAACAGAGAGAGGGAAAAAGCCCCTTACTCCTACTTTTCCTTGACTATACAACCAAAGATGATGGGATTAAGCCTGCCCAATAAAAAACTAACAGATAAACAGAGAGAGAGAGGGAAAAAGCTCCTTGCTCCTTACTTGTCCTTGATTATGACAACCAAAGCACTGAGACATACATCCACTCCTCATGGTGGGGCTCCACATTGGCAAAAGCAGACAACCCAGGCTACACAGTTGAGTCATATCAGCAAGAAGTGCTCTTTGGCAACAAAGATATGCTCCCAAGTTCATCTGAGGTTGACCCATTAAGGTGGAAATCAAAATCTGTTTCACCACAAGCTCAACTGGTCCAAGCAAACCCATATCTGCAGCAACAAAAATACTTTTAAAAGTTCTTAACAAATTCTATTTGCACTCTTTTGCAATTATCAACTTTCTAATCAAGTAAACTGCAGAAATTCCACATCCCACAAGGTATCTTTTTGCAGCATGCATAGACCAAACACATTTTTGTCACTTATTTCCATCAACAAACAGTCAATTTACAACAGGAGATATTAATTCCTGGTTTTTCAAAATGCAGTAATATTACAAACTGATGCTCTAAGCAAGAGCTGGTTTCACAAGATTCCTTATCCTTTTGGATTAGATATACAACACCATCTCTGGTTTAAATTAAATAAGGAAAAAATATGAAGAAATGTCAATATCACAATAAGGACACAAATTTGAGCATTGTTGTTACTATTTGCTATGCTAGGCATTGGCACACTAAGTTTGCGAGAGATGAGGCAATAAAATGGATCAGCATCCTTCCAGGGATTTACTGATGTATATGATATAATGTAACAATATGAATATGGTTAGGTCACCCTAGTATTAATTCTAGTTTGGTTTATTAGATCTTGAACCTGAAAGTTCATGATCTTTTTCACTTGTTTTATGTTGGCTGCATTTCATGTGCACATAAGACAGAAGATGGGTCCAGCAAAATATAAAATAAACCAAAATACATGAAGCTAGTTGAAATCCCTATTAATTTCATCTTCAGTCGAAGGTTGAGAAACACAAGTCGGATAACTTATCACAGTTTATTCCATAGAAAGACATTGTAATTCTTTATTTGAGATTCAAGTGAATGTAAAAATAAAAATGAAGCTCACCAGCTTCAAAAATCATGAAATCTCTCAAATCTCTGCTTTGTTCGTGATGAACTCCTTGAAGGTTGTTACACTTCATTGACAGTTTAGCAAATAATGTGTTTATCATATAGACCAAGAAAGAGTAGAAAATGTTGGGATGACGTGACTAGAATATTAGTTCTAGACAAACAACTTAGAGAGCACATCATAATTAGAATAAAACGTTTACCTTTAGGAGCGGATCAATTATGAAGACAAAAAATTTTCTAGCCCTCAATTCGCTGATATTTTAACTATTGCTAAAATTTTCTTTATGAGAATTCTTAAATTGTAAAATCTTAGTGTAGTCCACTTATTTTTCACATTTTTCAGATTAAGCTTCTTTCATGAAAGTATGGATAAATAACTGTCCTACAAGTATTTAAACTATGATGAGAGGGCAAAAAAGACATAGATACATGTGCACAGTGCGTGCAACACATACTAGTACAATTTAACACCTATTTTTTGTGGCTCTTTATTTAATTGAAATTCTTAACAGTTTCATAAGCAAATCATAAATTTTTTGAAGCTAGGCATTTCTGGTTATGAAAATAGTACGCCTAAAGAAATGCTAATATTAAAATAATTGATACTTTATATTAGTGCACTTGATACGCAAAACCTAGGCCGCAGCTATATATCTGCAAGACTGCAACATAAAATTATCTATTGAAAGATACTAAGACTTCAGCCATTTTTCTGTAACTAATCCCTATTCTTCCTTTCAAAATTATTTTTCTTTTTACATATACATTCAAGAAGAAGAATATACACATTTATTTTGCCACCATATATAGACATCCAAAACAGAGACTAAACTTAAAGTACAATGCTTAATACATGCCAAATAGGTCTGCAATAAACTCATTCAGAAAACTTTTATAATTGACAAACCAAATAAATTGATTATTCATTCCAATCATGCAAATACGAAATTCTAATAAATATTCTGTGGCTACATCACTATCTATATATTTCCTGATTTTCAATTAGAACATAATTAAAGATGGATAAAGATAAAAGACAGTGGAGAAAGAATTAGATCAAATCCTTAAGTTTACAATTCTACAGGAGTTAAAAGGAAAGCATTACACTTATGGTGCATCTGCAAAGACTTCATTGATGATTTCATCCTCACTGCCAATCATAAACAGCTCTGCATCCTTTTCTTCCTCATTGGAGAAATCCCTCCTGCCAACCTTTGAATGAGCAGCAATGAAAATCATCTTCTGAGCCCTTTCAAGGCCTATCCGTGAGTGTCTGTGGACACAAATCCACTTCATCAGAGACCAGTTACATTTAAACCCACATGACGTTGCATGTAGGAAGATAAGCCTCACTGCAATCTTTCCTAATGACTTGTATTCACTAAGACAAGTTTCCCATACTAGCCTACTGCTCTGGGGATTAGCAATTTTCATTTTTCCAGTCACAGGGTCTCGCTGTTTAACCTGAACAGCTTGGGCATAGAGTGGCTCTAACCCTTCCGATCTCCATTTCATGAGCTCCATCAGTGCAACATGTGCTTCTTCCCTGGTAACCAAACGAGTTATGAGCTTATCAACATCCTTCTCCTGCTCATGATTCAGGCATTTGAATGGTGGAAGATATTTTCCGCTGGTGTCTTGTCTCAAGTAAAGCGGATCAAGTATAAACGCAGCCGACCATGCAGGGTGGTAATTCTTTCTAAATCTCTTTTCAACAATTTTCTCAACAGGTGCTTCAGCAAGGTTGAACTTGGTGCACCATTCCTTCACTTTTACTCTCAACTCCTCCCAAAGAGGGAGGCATTGCCCAATCAATGGCCTCTCCACCTCAATCTCACGAGCCATACCTCTGATCAACTTCACCAGTGAATAAACTGCCTCCAAATCATTCCAAAACCCCTCATTTTGGACAATCCCGGCCACTTCCCTTGCCACTGGATCCTCAACACAAATCACCTTGAAAGAATCGTCTAATACAACCATCTGAAGAACTCGGGAACATCTCAGTATGTCCTCCAACGTAGCAAAAACATGTGCAATATTACTGCTGCAATCGCATTTGTTGGAAAGAACCCTTATCAACCCAGCACACTGAAGCTCCTGCATCCTATACTTTTGAAAGCTGCTTCTAACTTGCGAGTCCTTATTTACAAAATTCGCAAGCTTTAAAGAATTCTCAGTGACAGTCCTGAAAAGGAGAAGCTCTTTGCTAAAATCCTTTATCAAACTAACAAACCCTTGAAGTTGACAAGATAAATTAACCATCCAATGATTCTGAATCTCCAAATTCCTCAATGCCTTCGCCTTATACTTATCTGAAACTATTCCTACGCACTTCTGCATACCACTTCCACAAATCCCCATCACTGTCTCCCTCAAAACCTCCTCCGCATACTTGGAAGTCACTGATCCACCGGTAAAGACCACCTTCTGGTACACGCTGCTCCCATTTGGAAGATTGACACTAAATTGAACCAAATTCTCCTCCGCACAACCTGAGCTGCTATTACTACTACTAGCATAACTACTGCAACAACAACAACAACTTTTTCTCTTCCAACCATCAGAAGCAACCTGAATGAACATTGCATCCCTAATTCTAGCCTCGGATTCCCTCTCGGCCTCGTGAAACTTATTATCAAGCCGCGTGCCCAAGAGGTCCCTCCTTGAAACGGCAGGCATCCCAACCTGGTTAAGGAAAGCCCGAAACTTTGGGTGCTCGAGGCTAGAAAACGAAACCGACCCACAAGACTCATAGAACCAATCAGCTAATAAATCGAGTGCAGAATCAACCTGGCCCTTGCTTAAAGCTGGACCAGGAGAAGTTTTAGGACTCTTAAGCTTCTTAACACTATCTTCCAACATTGCTAAGGCACCTAAATCTTCTTTCCCACCAGATAAAACCAAGTGCTGCTGAGTCAACCCAGCATTATTGTTATTACCATGGCTCGAGTAACCCAGAAAACGAGTCGAATCAACTATAGCCAAGGAGTTGTTATTATTATCGTTACTGTTATTACTTACTTGATTTTGTAAAGGAGAGACGATAGCTGCTGAAGGACTTCGCTTTCGATGATTATGATGATGATAAGAAACAGAAGGGGAAGGCAATGAAGATATAGGTAAAGGAGACAGCGAGGAATTGGGTATCAAAACGGCGCTGAAATTGGGGCAAGTGCCGCGTTTTAAGTGCTCGGAAGCCGTTCTGGAAGGGTTGGATGCGGAGAAGACGGCGTCGCACAAGGAACACTTGAGTTTAACGGCTTTGGGGAGGTTAGTGTCCGGGTTTCGAACAAGAATCGGTTCCAGGTGGGCCCAATACCAGGCTCCTTTGCCCTTGGTGGCCTTGGTTCGAACCGTGATGAGTCCCTCATACCGCTTATTCACGGCTTTCGTAGCTGGGTCTTCTGTGGAAGAAGATGGGTCTGTTGGCGGTAGAGAGTTTGTTGAAGCCATAATGAGTTTTTAAAGCCGTTTTTGGTTTTAGGAAACAAATTGGTTTCTTTGGTTATTGTATGCTCATGGTGAAGACTGAAGAAATAGGAGAGTGACAAGTGACAAGGAAAGAAGTGGAGTTCTGAAGGAGAAAGGAACAAGGTAGGGGTATAAATGAAGGAGAAGGAAAGAGAAAGGAACAATAGGTAAGAGAAGTGGGGGGAAGGGGGGCTATGAATGATTATTTGTGACGTCAAACTATTCAATTTATTTAGTTTAAAATAGAATTAAAGATATCATTCACAATTATGTCAAATTCAAATCTCAAATATTGGAAGTTAATATAATCTTGCTATAAAAAATTGTTGGTTAAAGAACTTGGTCTTTTCCCCATAAAAGAAAATTATTACAATAGAATAAAACTAAATTAATAAAAATATTTTTTTAGCTTAACATTAAAAAATATGTAATTATATTTAAATTTTAAATTTTGATAAATATGAATCTTAATTTTTAACATATGTAATTTATTCTCGTATTTTTAATTTACGATTTTTTTTTATAAAAATAAAATCATATTCTCTCTAATTTTCAATTTTCAATTTTAAAGATTAATTTCCTAAATGATTAAACCAAAACTTATATACTACTATTCTACGAATATACTTTTTTTGTTATATGAAAATGAAGAAAAAGTTATTTTTTAACTTCAAATGAATCCTTCTACTATGAGTTTATGATAATGAAATTATTTTTATTTTTTTTATTTACTAAAATTGTAAGGAGAAGTCCATGAGCTGTTTGGGGGAAGCGAGAAGAGGACGAAGACTGTCACCTGGGCTGACATCACAAATGGTCGGGTCCGGATTTCATACGACAGTTGAAGGACTTGGCTGCTAGCTTTGCTTCCTTAGCACATCCGTGCGAATCACTTCATCAACCCGCACATGGAAAATGTTTCTCTCTTTATGTTTCTCCCATTCATTCCCCTCCTTATTTTTGTTACCCCTTTTGTCCTTCAATTTTTCGGTCTTTAATTCAAGTCGTTCTCTTTTTTTTTTTTTTTTACAGTGCAATCATGGTATATCTTTAAAATTTGTCCAAGCTTAACTTGTTCACAGTAAATTTTAAAGATACCCTCTTCAAATCAATTTAATGCATTCATAATTTTATTTTTAATATACTTTCGGTAAAAATTAGACCTTAATTGACAAAAAATGAGGATGACTCATTGTTGGTTTTGAGTTTTACTTTTTTTATCTTAAGATAAATTTTTTAAAGAATTAATTTTTATATGTAATAGCGATCTATTTATATTAGTATAAGTTTCATAATTTTTTTTACTTATGAATCAAAATAGATAAAATTTAAAATTTTATTTTAATTCAAATTAATTATAAATTTAATTTTTATCTAAAAAATAAAAAAAAATGTAAAACTTTAGCCTTATTTGATAAATCGTTGAAAATTTTCATTGCATTGAAAATGAGAAATTTTTAACATTTTAATTTTTTTAATGCCTTTGATAACACATTTTAAAATTCTCTTAACATAATTTTTTAGTCACAAAGTATTGAATAAGATAAGTAGATATTGACCAAAATGTTCAATAATTCAAAAAAAAATTTTGAATTATTATCTTCTAAAAACACTACTTCATTATGTTAATGAAAATAAAAGTAAAAAATATAAAATTGATAAATTTTGAAAATTCAATATTTAAACAGTTATCAGCATAATATATTTATATTCAACATTTAATTTTTCAGAAAAATACCAAACAATTTTTATATTTAAATTCAATACTTATAAATTAGTATTAAAAATTCAATATTTAAATTTTTAACCTTTAATATTTATAGTTTATCAAACAGAATCTTATATTAATATAAATGGATCTACTCCTATATACTTAATATTATAATAATTTGTTTATTTAGTTAGTGATATATTTATTTATCTTATTAAAAGAGTTTGATTCAAATCTTTCTTTTTTTTTTTTTTTTACAAACTCAAATCTTGTTTCTCTTTCTTTTTATTGTCACTGGTGTCTACTGAATCATGATTTGAAATTAAAACTCTCAATAAATGTCTTCCACTTGTCAAGCTAGTTCTTTTGTTTTGTTAGGGTCGTTGATTATGTCATTTGAAGTTCACGAGCATAATAGCCGATTCTTTTTTATCTCTTTTATTTTATTCCTTTTTCTTTCTATAAGTGAGTTTAATAAAAACTATTACTATTAATATTAGTTTTAAATTTTACCGTATTTTTAATATAATGTGATTAAATTTATTATATTATCAGATAAATTTAATTTTTTTTAATTACAATAATAATAATTATTTTTTATTTTATTAAAATTTAAGTTACTGTTCATTAAAATGAAATCTAAACAACCATAATTACTTAAAGTCTTATACAAGAGGGGGGAGCCCAAAGATCGATGCCATTTAAAAAACTATAATTTGTTTCTCTTCTCATACTTTAATCATTCTGTTCAATTGTTAATGAAGAGAATTTAAAACGGCCATATTTAGAGACAAACACGTGTCCAAAATTAATTAAATAACCTTTTATATAATCAATCAATGTCGAGGAGGCACATGTGGGCTATGCCTCACAAGTCAAGTCTAATTGGGTGCAAAGCTAGGATGCACTCGACCCAGATTTTAAAACTCAATGGTTGAAGCTCGATTGGTCTGAGTTTCATTTTTTATGTTTAAGTTTGGAGTATAATTTACTACAGTCATTCGAGATTAATTTGATTAGGTTTGATAAAATTATAAAAATAAATATTAAATATTATATTTTTATTATATTCATGAACCTTTCAGATATTAAAATACAAACTCAATTTATTATTTGTTTGGTATTATTTACACCAATTGTCTTTTTTTTTTTTTTTTTGGAACCATTCAGCATAATCTTTAACATAAAATTGTGCCAACCATTAATTATGAGAGATTGGTTAAACCCTAAAACTACTTTATTTTGAGTTTGAGCAATTCAACAGTAGAAGACAAAGGAATTGAACACCATGTGCATAGTTAAACATAAAAATGATTGGCAAAATTACCAAATTTAATCGTACTTTTTCCAAGGGGGAATAGGGATGAAATAATTATTTCAATTGTTGTTTTTTCTTAATAATAAATACAAAGAATCCAAGACCTTTTTTTTCATAAGAGACATCAAGTTTGATACAAAACTACACCTATGGTCGGTAGGTGGATAAGAAAAAAAAGTCAAAAAAGTAGTATCTTTGCTTGGATATTTGAGAGGGTGATGGCTCATTTTCACCTTAAAGCAAATGGCGCTGTCCTTTTGGGCCACCCCCAACCTTCCCTCAAAGACTTTTTACATTTGTCATTTGGTCCTACACTTCTACGCTCTCCCATTGGGTAGTTTTTGCAATTGACAAGAAATACACTTTGGACACAAAGGACCCATTCAATTTGATCCTTTGCCTTCTCATCATAGCCATTAAGATTCCTAATTTTGAAGGCAAAATGTTCATCCTTACCTTGTAAATTTTACTCTCTATCTTTGTCGATGTTAATAAAGTAAACAATCATCTTTGTTTCTCCTCCTCCACTTTTTCTTTTTTATTTTTTCTCATCCTTTTATTCTATAGTCTAATAATTATGCATAGTTGTTTTATTAAAATTGAGTTGATATATTAAGATGTATGAGTAAACTTTGTTCTACATACAAATAATTTTTACATATGAAAAATATTGACAAGCCATTCAAACTTTGAATTCTAAGACTCTTAAAAAAATATAATAGCCTTGAAATTTGGTGCGAATAAAATTACATAAAATAATCAACAAATTAATAGATAAATTTCAAAAGATACTAAAACTAAAAGAGTTACGAGATACAAGCAATTGATAAATAGTTATAAAGATGATATGCAAAGGGAGATAGTCGTAAAAGATAATTCAAATGGATCAAAAAATAAAGATATATTTAATGATAATTTTTTATAAGTTAATGTTTAGTATAAGGTTATTATTTTAAAAATTATGATGATTTACATATTATGATGAAAATCATCATATTTTGTAACCATTTAGTAATTTTATATGATGGTGATTTTGAATTATCAAAATTAATTAGATCACTATATTTGGATGATGATTTAATTCCTATCGAAAGAATTGAAAAGCTTTTATTATCGATGTAAAGTGATATGTAAAATTAATAATAGTCTTTAATATGTAAATTAAAAATTTTCATCTTAAAATTAATAGTTATTATTTAATATTATAAGTTTTATATTTTCAAATTAATATTTATTGTAACAAGTTCAAAATATTTTGTATAAATTTTTTAATTTTGTAAACTTATTTAAAATATAATCTTTTGATTTTAATATATTAGTTTTGTTTTTAATTCAAATATTTTTTACATAATTTATATTATAAAAATTTATTTTACTATCAATAAATATATTTTTAATTTAATAATTTAATAATATTTATTATGAAGTAAATAAAATATTACTAATATTTTATATATAAATGATTATTTTTAAATAATATTGAAATCATTAACTTGTTGAGTTATTATAATGTGTATAGTTATTTTGATACTTTCAAACAAAATAATATTCGATTTTTAGTAATACTAAATATAAAGATATTTAATTACTAAAAATTAATGATTTTTAATCAAATAAAATGATTAAACATCACCAGTAACAAGATCAACTTAAAAATAAAATTCACTGATAATTAAATTATCATGATAATCTTGAAAATAATATCATATACTACATGAGAAAAATGTGTTAATGTGATATTTATAGAAAGAAATTCGTAATTAAATTTTTTTTTTTTTAATTTGACAAAAGCAATTTTTAAAAAAATTGTAATCAACCTTGATACGCACTCATTAACCGAACCTTTTATAAATTTGCATGAAATTAATTAATTTCATGATGAGTTACAAAAAGGACCACCAAGAAAACAAAAGAAAAGAAAGCAGTTAGCAAATGAAGAGGGAAAATGACGGGTAATGCAATTAAAGCAACCAACTGTTTTTTTTTTTTCTCAAGTTGTGTTATGTGGGGGTAAAATTTAAAGAAACCTAAAAATAATTTTCCATCATTATCAATCGTTGTTTTTTAAAGCCTTGAAGAAATCATTAATTTTTAGGTATATGTGCTCGCACATGTTTTTAGTTCTCAACATCGAATATGGTTGGAATCCAACCACTGAATCTG